CATTTTACCGGTAATATATTTGTTTCTTAGGTTTTCACGCACATCACTCATTAAATAAAACTTGTTTTTACGGGTTAGATGTACTGAATTTATTGACGTTTCGCAGCCTTTTCAGGTTTGCGTCGTCTGAATAATGATTTTTTGTTTACTTTGACGAGCTACCTTCGAAAGACTGTAATTGAGCGTGCGGACATTTCATTATCAATTACAGTATTTCGAAGGTATATATATATTAAATAAATAAATTCAGTACATCTAACCCGTAAAAATTAGTTTTATTTAGTGCGATAAGTTGGTTTTTAAGCAAATGTGTTAAAAATTAAATTTACGTTCGTCATAATATGCCATCTTACTTCTTTTGTTTGACTTGAGGACACAAGGACAATGAAACAAACTGTGTGTTTATTCGAAACCTAATTTTTATTTCGTCGCTTTTAGGACTCTACAAAGGGGAAAAAATACAATTGCCTTAGACAATTCAGATCGGTTCGCTACTTACAAAAGTTACTTTTTTTGTCGAAAATAGTTTTGTTGTGCCTACATTTCATTGACTAAGCACAAAAGCGATGTATCGTTGAATAACATGTGATATGTCTTAAGTTATCAATGGTGGGAAATTTAAAACACAGATTTCTTTTTTCTTTTTCTAGTTTTATTAGGGTTCCGTACCCAAAGGGTAAATCAGAACATCATCAAATCCTATTGCTGTCAGTCTGTCGTCTGTCTGTCCGTTTGTCACGGGTCAATTGATCGTAAACGGAATGAGTAGCAGTACTGAAATTTTGGTATTTTACGAAGAAAGCTTACGTAAAGGACAATATTTAGTTAAAATTCAATTAGGCTTATTATTTTCTTGAACTCGTTAAGTAGAAAATATTTTTTTTTATTACATAATTTCAATTACATAGAAATGGGAGGCCGTCAATGTTGACTTTTTGACATTTTTGTTACGAGGTCTATCTCAAAATCTTAACTAGTTAAGAATGTAAAAAATATGGTCTATGTTGCCCCATATGCTGTGTTTAAACAACAAATGCTGAAAACGCCGATTCATTATGTTTTTCGGGAGTTGTGACGGAAACAAACAAAATATTATTTTTTCATTTTGCGGTTTCTTGCAATGTAACTGGCAAAACAAACGACACAGAACTGCAAAACTAAATATCACATTTCTAAAATTACAATAACTTTTTAAGTACACAAGATATGGTTTCAAAATAAAAAGGACACGAAAGTGAGTTTAATTTTGTACTACAGTTTTCATAAAAAGCTGATAAATTTTGTTATAAAACGTTTTTCATTCTAAATCTCTAACTTCTATTTCTCAATTTTATATAGTTTAGATATATATTAGTGTGATTGATAAAATTGACAAAATGCAGGCCAGTGTCTTTTATAAGTCAGTGATATTAAGGTAGCTTCAATAACAGGTTGAATTTATTTAGTTGTGTATTCACTTTAAAAATAAGTAATTAAACTAAACTAAAATAAATATTTAAGGAAGGCTCCCATACAACTTTTTTTGGTCAACTTGATATTATAGTATCTAATGTCTATAAATCACAAATCTATCAGTAATAAAAGGTACGGAACCCTTCGTTCGCGAGTCCAACCGCACTCGGCCGGTTTTTTTTATTAGTTTGGACAAAAGTACTTTCGTCTGTTGGAAGAAATGTACTATTTGGCATAGCTCTTTATTCACTAATAATGTTCTTTTTTAAATGTTTAATAACATCAAGAAATTAGATGGTTAGGTTTTTTAAAATGTTCTTCTATTTTTTCATCACAATAAATACTGAGAATTTATTAAAATTTCATGCTGAGTCAATGAAAGGAGGCATTATTTTAATGATATGAAGGTAACATTTATGTGTATATTTTATACTTAATACAATCATACATAGAAACAAGTTGTTACAACAAGAATTGGTTTTAACGAATACTCCTACTAATGAATGTAATAGTCAAGTTCATAAATTGGTGAGTCATTTCACAAACAACCGACAAATTTATGTGATTCTCATGATACACTGACTTATATTTAATAATTTAGGAAATGTCGAGGTATCTATGAAATGTCAAACCTCATTCAATATCCGTATAAGTTACACAATTTTCTTACAATAATCGCTTTAGAGAGATATTTAAGAAGTATTTACAAAGTATCAGTAAATGACTTCATTCACTCAGTAAATGTTTAAAAATTAAATTGAACTAAAGCTTGTTTTGATTCTTAACAATTTTTTTATAGATTTTTGTTCACATGTTTAAGTCAGAATATAGCTTGAAACATTCAAGCTATTTAGGTATCAATTCAAGAAATTAAAGAGTTTTGAAATTTACTTCAGTTTAGTACATTTACAATCTTTAATAGTAATAATAATCTTTATATCTTACATTATTATTGGTTTCACGTATTAAAGAATAATGATGTACTCTTGTAATAACTAAAAACAATAAATTCATGGATTTAGTCTAAAGTGAATTTAATTAGAGCTATTTTTTGTTCCTTTTTATTAAAGTTGTTCATATAACAATAATTAATACTTAAAAAAAAGCTCATAATGAGATTTCTTATCGGTTTAACAAACTTTTCGCACTTACATCAAAATGTAATTTTTTTAATATATTTATTTTTGTTATTTCATTGCACGCATATCCAGCCGCAGTACTAAATATATGTTCAGTTTCATGACAATATTTGTTGCTAAAAATATTTTTTAACAAATAGGTTATTTTAGCGGAAATGAAAAGCACCTAATTAAATCCACCATAGACCAAATTAAAATTAATGTATATATGTAAAAACTGGGATTCCGTTCGTATCTAATTTTTTAATAGCTTGTTTATTAAAATTTCACTTGATTATGCAAATTATTTCAGACAAATTGACTGAACGACGACCGCTCATTAAAATAGTAAGAATTTACCAATTCAAAATTTCAGTTTGGTTTTAGTACGTACTTTTATACAAAATTTACTTACAAACTCTGATGAAAAGATTGTAAATTTAAAGTTCCATAAAGTGCAACATTCGCTTACTTACTGTTAAAATTTATAATCGGTTTTTTTTTCTTTTATTTGCGGCTAATCAGAAATATTTGGCTGCACAAGTTAAGGGTAGGTATGTAAATCCATTCAATTTTGTTTAATTTCTTTACCTTAGATAGAACGTACTATTTATATTATTAATTCTAAAAATATTTTCAATTGTGAAGAGAATATTACACTCTATTTTCCATCTATTGAAATATGAAGAATTGCTGTGAAAATCGCGATAAAATTATATAAACCACGCACAATCACATTTAACTACAAATTGGAAAGAAACTACACCAACGTAAATATTTTTTTAGTACTTCAATAAAACATCAATCGTCAAATAAGTTTTTTTTTATCAAAGCGTAGTTTCCCCACACGGTGTCGGCAATGTTCACCTACTATTTTTTTATATCCTAATTAATATTATTTATTACTTATAATGCTCGCTAGTGCATTAATTACAATATTTACAATAATGACATAGAAATTATTACATTAATACAAATATTTTCTATTTGACTATAACTACTACTAAAACTTCAATTATATATGGTTTTGGTCGGCTGACAGTTTTTACAAAAAATAACCAGAATGAGAAACCTACGTTTCACAAATATAAAGGCAATTTCATTAACAATATGCTATGAATATCAAAAACATTTATAGGATTATGTAAAAGACGACGAGGATAGTCATTATTTAAGATGGTTGCATGCTTAAGGTGGTTTCATAGTTGATTCATAGTAATTTACTACTGTTATGAGATTTTCGTTATATCATACTGTACTTACAAACCTGTACCTACACATTTATGAATACGACTATGTAAGTTATAACATCCTATATTCTTGCTTAATGATCATCATAACAAAATCATGTTCATTACATAAAATAAGAATTAGTCACAACGGACCCCGTGCCTCCGACCCTACGTGTGACCCGTACTCAAATTAATTTTAATCCCATCAACTCCCCAGAAAATTCGGTGAGGCCAAATAAGACGAAAAGTTCCTACATGCCCTCCCTCCCACCTCAAAAATAAATAAATAGTTAATACTAAATAGTTTCATATTTCTAATAATGAAACTATTTAGTAAAGAAAAAATGGCATTTAACGAAAAAACTTTATTTATTTAAACTACTTAGCGGCTGCGGGTAACATTAGTTTTTTTGAGAATCCCTCAGGAACCTAATATTTTTTACTTATTTCATTTCTGATTGATTAAATTTTAGTTAGTTTATTTCTGTTTTGATTGTATTACATAAATTAATTTTTATTTATTTCCGTTAAATGGCGCTTTTTCTTTGTTATAAAGTATCATTATTTTTTTGAGAATCCCTAAGTAACCTAATATTTTGTAATTATTTCATTTCTGATTGAATAAATTTTAGTTAGTTTATTTCTTTTTTGATTGTATTACATAAATCAAAATTTATTTATATACCTTAAATGTGGCTTTTTTCTTTGTTATGAATTTCTTTTATTCTTTCTTTTTTATTTGTCATAAAGTATCATTAAGGTAAGTAATAAGGGGGCATGTAGAAAAATTTTTAAGACTCGTTTGACCCCACCAAATTTTCAGGTGGGCGGTGGTACGGTGTCCGCTGGGAATAATTCTAAAATTACCACTATAATATATTTTTTATCCAATAATCAATTAATATCACCTGGTTCAAACGCAATGAATATCTTATCGATAATATCGAATAGTATTTTTTTATTACATTGCTATTTAAATAATATTTTGGTATGCCATTTGGAAAACGCAAGAAGGGGGGATTTAATCGACTTTTATGAATTCAGGAACAAAGTTTTATTTTTAAAAAGCGATATGTTAGAGTGAGTATGATATGAGGGATGATTTAAGACCGGATAAAGCCAAAATATATTTTATAAAAATATAAATAAATAAATGTTTGCATAATTTTATATTATACAGTTTTATTTTATCTGGCAATAAGACTTTTCATTATTAACATTTTAAATTAATGTTGTAATGAAAATTTACACCTACATACAATTATTTGTTGTTCTTAATATACAAATACGGTAGTACACAATATTTGGAATTAATAACAATATACACAATATTAATAAATATACGATAAATATTTACACACACGATAAATTAAAACACTTCCAGCAGTGCTATTCTGTGAAATTTTCACGGGCGGATCCGATGAAGATCCGCGAATTTCCCATATAGATTGGCGCGGAACCGCATCGGATCCGCGCGTGAAAATTTTGCAGAATGTAGGCCCAGGTCATCAGGTAACTATAAATTCAAAAAAAGGGGGAAAGACAATATAAAAACTGAAATATAAATCTACTATCACATGGATTAAAAATATTTACTTACAAAATCTATTTGCAATGTCATATTTACAACATTCAGGTAAAATACCTAATACATTATTAATACTATAGTTACTAAATTCACAACAGCCTATAAATTAATGTATTTTTTCACTAAAGTTTAACATCTCTTTGGTCATTCCGTAAACATTTTTCAGCGATTCCAAGTTATCTTAACATTTAAATACTATTGTTCTACAATTTAGTGCTGCAGACATCATTTAAATTTCAATAATATCGTAAAAACAATAAGAACTCTGAGGAATAAACATTTACAAACAGCAACGACTAGTCGGATCAGAATAGCTTATAACGATAAAAAAGTTATATTAAAAAACAATAGAACAAAGTAAGAAAACTAACACAGTTAGACCGTGATATATTTATAATTAATAAAGTCTTAATTAGATCACAGAATCTCGGTCTCTTGCATCGACCTCAAGCATTGACAATCATAGGAAACTTTCAGATGCTCTCGTCTCGTCCCGTTCGAGTGCTGACACGATTTCAACTCCTTCATCGTAGTTGTGCACTTTAGAAGTGTTATTTACGCAGTAATGCTGATCAGGGTCGCCGTACTGGCTATGGTAGAACTCCTCACGCATCATATGGTTAAGATTAGAGCACCTAAAGAAAAGTATCTCCTGAAATGGTTTCCTGAAGTCCCTGTTTAGTGTGGCATAAATGATGGGATTAAGTAAGCTGTTAACGTAGCCTAGCCACAGGAATAGGGCGCTGACTGCGTCAGGTATGGTTCCTTCTTCGACAAAAGGCCTCACTAATGCGAGGACAAAGAAAGGTAGCCAGCAAATGACGAATGCTGACATGATGATACCGAGCGTTGTAGAAGCTTTTCTCTCTTTCGCGAGTTGGAACCGCAACTTCTTCTGATGTGGTGAATGAGTTGGGTGAAGTAAATCTTTGGCAATGTGACTTTTATGAGCAAAACTTGATAAAGATGAACGGATTCTGTTCGCCGTTAGCTTGTTGCTACTTTCGGACGACTGTCTCCGCTTGTCTTTGATTTGGAGAGATTTATTATTGTCTGGTGTATGACCAACTTGGGATGTGGAGCGGTTGATTGTGTGAATCGGTTTAGTGGGAGTTTTCTGAGCCAGCATCGGACATTGAGACTCGTTGGATTTACGTTGCCCACTGAAACACCTCCCTATGGTGCTTTCTGTTTTTTCAACACTAATCTGAAACAATAGAAAGTGCAAATGTTATATTCCAATGTCAATTATTCTAGTACAAATTCCCAAGACTGCCAGACTTTACTGTAGTGTGTACAATGAACACAATACAGTAAAGCCCCATATACATACCCCTAATTATTTTTAAATGTTCGTTTATGGTTTTTATTTAGTTTGAAATTCATTTCCGTCAAGGCTGTCAAAAATTCTATCATTATCAGTCCAGCAGCAAAATCCATAAAAGATACTTAAATGTTCCTGTCAATTATCAACATCTATAAGTTTTTCAACCCATATTGGTTTTTTATTATTTCTACCTTAAATAAACTAAGTTCAAGCTTATCGTTGACGAGTTTTTGTTACTATCAGACCGCCTCTACCGATGGCTTGCTCGCACATTTAATTATCATGAGCACGCTGAGTAATTTTGTATGTAGGTTATCACAATTGTCTTTACGCTGTAGTAGCATTTTACCATCCGAAGAATGAATAATAATATTATGCTTGTTTGCTACGTTTGTAACTATAAAAAAATTGCGGTCAAATAAAAAGCCTTTTAGTGGGATACACGGTCAGCTGGTATTATAAGCTTTTAGATCTCTTTATGGGTACCCAAGAACCAACTCCTGGAATAATACAGTTGGTTTGTTAAGGAATGGCTTGACGTTACGAAATTTAAAGATGTTTGTAAGGACGGAACGTGCTTGTGGAGTTCTGTTCGTTCTGCTTCTCTCAATTGAAACATGGCGTGAAGATTGCATGTAAAGTTTGGCATTTTTAGAGCTACCAGGCATGGATGAACGTACAGCATTTCCCCCCCTCCTTTGCTAATCTGAGCGAGCGAGTGAAAATATAATGTAAAATGAAATGAGAATAAAATATGAATTGCTTACAGTTGTATTGGTACTAGTAGTTGACCCTCGGGGAGGTGGTTGAGCCGGTTGCGTGCCAAGAAGTCTTGCCTCTGCTGCACCGCCATTTTTCACGTTGATCTCAAGATAGCAGTGCGTCTCCAAATGTGATTGAGCTCGCTTCTCATCCTTCACAATCTTTCTGGCTGCGCTAAATATCTTGTAATATACCACCACCATCACAGTCAGCGGTATGTAAAACGATCCAAGCGTCGCGTATATTTGGTACACCTTATTTTGCGATACAGAACATGTAGTTTCAGTCTTCTCATTACCCAATATTAGAACAGGCGGTAGAGATATGAAAGCAGCACTCATCCATACTATGAAGACACAAAAAAACATTCTCTTTGGTGTCCTTTTGACACCATATTCTAAAGGTTTGGTGATAGCGTAGTATCGATCGACGGATATCATGCAGAGATTTAGGATGCTGGCTGCGCATGACAAGACGTCACTTGACACCCAGAAGTCACAGATGACTGGTCCCAAAGGCCAAGTTCCGAATAAGTCGTACAGCATTGCTATTGGCATAACGATTATGGCTACGCAGAGATCGCTTACTGCCAACGATACGATGAGATAGTTACTAGGTCTTCTTAGTTTCCTCACTAAGCAAACGGCAATGCATACAAGAATGTTGCCAACAATTGTCCCTATTATGACGATCAGGAATACTATGAAAAGTAGAATGGTTACAGGTGTCGAATACTTGCTCGGTTGAATACTAAGTCTAACAGTGTTTGTGGAATTGTAGTCGAAGAATGTCCAGTTGGCAGTCGAATTAATGTTTGTGTAGTTTAACTCTGAGCTTAAAGAGTCGTTCAATTCTACAGAAGCGAATGCTACGTCCGTCTGTGACGCTAAAAATACCAGTATGAGAAGATGCGAAGGTAAAGCAACAAAGTTGGGCAGTGAACAGTGGAAGTTATGAGTTTGAGTCGCCATACGAAACCCTTGATGGGGTGACGATTATTTTGTTCGCGTATTTGACTGTGCCATACATTGGATTTGATTTTATTCTCTTTTTGTATATTTCGCACTTGATGCACCCTGGTGAGAAACGCCACGATTTTCCGAGTCAGGTCTGAAAAACGACCTTGTCATATAGTTTTCTGTTCTTCGAAAACTGTAACCTTTTGCAATAATTATTATTGTGAAGCAGTTCTAATTGACATATTGCTTGGATCGTCTTCCCTATTCCCAGAATAGCCATTGGTACACACAATTAGGTTTCGGCTTTTTCTTTCCGCTATAGTAATACAGTTTGTTTTCGTTTGTACTGAATCTTTGGTTTAAATTGGTGTGGTTGTTTTGTTTTATTGCACTTCGAAGGCGATTGGAGTGGCTGCTAGTTCAATATCCTGCCCGCGGATTGCTTCATTAGTGCCGTTGATTGGTGTAGAAGAATTCCAATCTGGAAAGAAAAGGAAAATGTTGAGTATTTGTGGAGCAATGCCTTAATCTCTTTCGTTTTATTCTGAAATGTTTTGAGTAGAATGTTGCTTTGACAAAAAGAACGTTAGATCACGTTTCAGATGAAATTTTGACAAAATAATATTTATGTAAACTTTTTTTTTTTCTAAATGAATACTATATACTAAATGAATATTATGATACAAATATTCCTTTTATTAATATTTGTTTAACTTCAATTAGATGCATATGTACCTAGTTGAAATTAAACTGCTAAGTAAAAATCTTAAACAATATATCTTTTTCTTTTCTAAATAATTTAATCTATGTTACTTGCAGAAAGTTTTTGCAATTTCAAAATCGGAATAACCCCATAAAATGTCATGGATGAATAAATAACTAGCCAACAAGTTACTAAAATAGGCCCGCGGGGAACCTCGGGGCGAGACACATGCTGAAATATAAGCCATTCTTTCCTAGCTCTGCAGCTGTGGATAAAGTATTATACCATTTTTTATTCAAGAAGCCGTATTTTATTCCATCCCGTACGTACTTGTAAACATTGTTTACTAAATACGACTACCACCAAGGGAGTCACAGAGTTCTCGAGAAACACCAATTTTTCGTAAAGTATAGTATGCTATATACCTAATGTAAATGTCTACATCGCAACAAAGCAAATTATCTATTAATAAGTTTTTGTTTCATTCATGTAGTTAACGCAATTGGAAGCCAACTTCTCAATTGAACGATTGTGAGCTATCACCTAATGCGTATGACGAATAAGAACTTCACAAATACTTTCTGGCCAACTAACAAAAGAACCCGGCTGTACATCTATATATATAAAACACAAAGGTGACTGACTGACATAGTGATCTATCAACGCACAGCCCAAACCACTGGACGGATCGGGCAGAAATTTGGCATGCCGCTAAGAAAGGATTTTGATCAATTCTACCCCCAAGGGGATAAAATAGGGAATGAAAGTTTGTATGAAACTTTGTCAATTTTAAACCGATCGGGCTGAGACTTTGCATGCAGGTATAAGAAGAATCATAGATGAATGTCATTGTGTATTATACAAGCCTGAGAACAAAAACTGTAGTCGAAGTGTAGACTCTACACCGAAGCGAAGCGAGGGCGGGCCGCTAGTTTTACATATGGGGACAATATTCATACATATTGCTTTGCTTGAAGATACTTTTAATCAAACAGATCTTTTTTACCGTACGTGTCATAACATTAAATTATTCGGCGAAGACACTGCAGTGCGTCTTTCTTTCTGGGCGTAGGTATATTTTTAGCATTCTTTTAACGTGAAATCTGACCTTTAGTGTAATAGCAATAGCAGCTGCTACAGGCTATAGTGTTTGCCCACGTTCTATTTAGACTCCATTAGGTAGTGTCATCGCTGTGTTCAATAGCCGGCTCATTTTTTCTTTCAATGGAAACCTCTTAGTAGGTTTTCATTTCACGAGATTTTTCGTAGGTTTCAAAAAATATTTTATCTAAGCCTGGGTTAATTTCTCTACACAGCCCGATTTTGTGTGTAAAAACTACTGATACGGCAGGATATAGCTACTTTATAAGTCCATATAAGCGTAATTGACAATTTTATGTTATCTTAATTTACACGTTACATACTCATTTTGTCTTAAATATTTAATAGGAATCACGATCCATTGGTTCTGATATCTAAACCAATAAAATTAAGTAGTCATTAAAATATTCATATGATTTAAAATTTTATGATACTTTGTTAACAGCTACGTTAACTGCTAGATTATTCGGCGGAGTAATAATGATTATTTTCTTTATCTAAACACATTTAAAAAGTTCAAAAACTATATTATCTTTCTAGAGGGAAACTCATTACCTAAATAGGTTAGGGATAGTCAGCAACGCGGTAATTATTAATCTATTGAAAAGTGCTTACTGTATCGTACGCGACGGAAATCATAAATAATTTATGAGACTGCTTCAAATTCTGTGCCGTCACAGCTCTGTTTAACCTACATACAGTACAGGTTATTGGTAATTATGGCTATCTACCTGTATTATAAATTACATCTCGCGATGGTTTCATGATGTAATAATTTATGATGGATTCGAAATTTAGACTCCGAATTTTCTTGATGTTAAAATTATGAAACAGTATTTATTTTATTATATACATAAGTGACATTATAAAATATCAACAATAAAAATCAACAACGCCACAACGGTTTCAATGGAGTTTGTGAACTTATTAGGCCATTCTTTTTTACGTACATTTATTTGCTCGATCTGTTTGAAAATTGTTTATTTCAGAGCTTGTTTGACTACTTTACTCATTTCGCTTAGATGAATAACATATTTTAGATGTTTCATACAAACTTTAGACCGACCCCCTTGTCTCCCATACATACTTTCTCCTCGTATTTTACCCCATCTAACTTTTAATACCGCAATAGACGCATATTTTACCAGTATTCTTCAAAATTGCTTCAGTGACTCATTATAACAGTATCTAGCAGAGATTTGACAGATTATTTTTTCATTTTATATAATATTTGTATGGATAATGTGATCAATGAAAAGTGATAAAGATACTTACTTATTTATTTAACACAAAACGCCATAAGAACATGGTTTATAAGGCGGTAAGTTTGCCGTGATAAGCTTTTAGCCGGTATTAATGCAACCAACAGAATATCTTTACTATTAAATTAATTATAATAGTCTGAGTATTTCATAGTTATTTAGGATGCACTTATATTTAACAAGTTCTCATGCTTGTAAAACATTATAGATTTGATACTGTGGCTTCGACTTTGCGATAAGAACTAACATAGGATTTCTTTCATCTAAAATCTATCTGTAGTTGTTTGAATAAAATTAGCTATCACTGAGCAACAAATGTGAAGTATTACTTAAATTAAAAGACAATTGATGTTCATAATTAAAATGTCACGTTATAAAATCATTGTTAAGTGTTTCAAGCCAGCTAAATTCTCAACTCTGAATAAAGTTAATTTCAATGAAATGACAAACGAAATATTCAGTTAAATTTTAATTTTATCATCATATACTTTCGAGCATTTTACAGCTTCATTAAACTCATACATAACTTGTGACTGCGCGGAGCACACTTGATTTGATGGACTGGCTAACAGCACTCGACAAGTTTAAATTGTGTTACGAAGTTAATGCTTAAATATGAATATATGGGTTCCGAGTGCTCGCGAACATTAACTGTTCGCGTTCAGGTTAGGTTTATTACTGTAAGGTTTGTTGCTGTTATTGTAATAAAATAAAAAAAATCTATGTTGTTTTATAAAAAAATCTACGTAAGAAAATTTAATACAGTTTATTCTCATCACCTGTAGAAAAGCGTCAAGTACTGATATTAAAGTTAAATATAATATACATACTAGCGGTCGCCCGCAACTTCGGCGTTCACTTTATTTTTTTGCGAATCCCACTATTAGATTTTTCTGGGATAAAGGGTGCCCTGTCTCAATACAGGTCATAAACTATGTGCGTACCCAATTTCATACTAATAACTTACAAAGTTTCACATAGTAGGATAAATAATATTATAACTATGTATTTATGTACACGCTTAACTTCCAAATTTTTTTTTGAGTGTGTATGCTGATGGTCTCTGATGACCTTTACAGCGTCACCGGGTTTGGGGACGGCGAGATCCTAAGCGGACCTCAAGCCGAGAATTGGCGAGTGCCTCTAGAGGTATTCCAGGCGGATGGCGTCTCCCTACGGGGGGAGTCTCCTCTCCGTCTGGAGCCTCTAGACCACTCGAACCTGAGGGGGCTTACTTCCAAACGACGTGACTGCATCAAATTTTATAATTCTTTTTTTGATGTTCGTTATTGCCCTATTAAGGTTTGTAGGTATGAACGGTAATGTAAAAAAATAAATAAACAGCTTTTTTTCTTATAATAATAATATGAAAATTTAGTCAGTGAATACGAAGTCAGTTCGAAGTTCGCCGGGTCAGCTAGTGTTAAATATAAATACGCTCATTACATTTTCAACCGAGGTCTAACTATAAAAGTAACTATTTTAGTGTTACGAGGGTTATTTCCTTTTCAAGAAATATACACAAAAATGGATCATAACTTGTTTGACTGATGTATTTTTTAAGTATACTATAGTTGAACACAACTTGAAAAAATTTGTTTTTATTTATTTTTTAAGCATTTAACTGCTAGATGTTTAAATCTAAAGAAAAGTTTACTAGAAAAAACTCCACGCGGACCAGGCAGCGGACGGGACTCGAACCCGCACTCTTCGCTATCCGGGCGAATGCACTGACCATTATGCTACCACGGCCCTTTTCGCCGCGTCGAAATTTTCCTAGCCTTAAGCTGCAAGGCAGCGCCATCTCTTCGCATTGTAGGTAATCCACAATGTCAAATGAATACTGTTTCAAGTATTAAACATTTGATAGAAGAAAATAGCAATTATAGTTATGTTTTTATTTTGTTTCTTTAATATATAATGGTCAGTGCATTCGCCCGGATAGCGAAGGGTGCGGGTTCGAGTCCCGTCCGCTGCATGGTTCGCGTGGATTTTTTTCTAGTAAACTTTTCTTTAGATTGAAAAAAAATGTTTATATTTTTTTCAAGTTGGGTTCAACTCGCTTCTCGCTTCGCTTCGCGGCGTTTACCAATAATTAATAATTTAACAAAAAAAAGCTTCTTATTCCTAAAATTTATTTGATGTTAAGGTCCAAAGAATTTGTTTTGCTCTACAGAAAATGATCCATTACTGTGCTTATAGCCGGTACTTACTATCAAGCCGTTTAAAGTTGCGTTAAATGTGTTATTGTCATACTATTCACAATCATGGTACACGATCAATATTAATTAGCACATAGATTCACTCTGCAGACTGTGCAAAGGAAAATTGTTGCGTCTAATTTAATTTAGTTTCTTATTCGTGATTTTGGTTAATATCTTGATACAATGAATGAATTGATCCCATTGTCTGCAA